GAAGGGGTGTTAGGACACTTGGTGTTAGGACATGACACATGAAAGAGCCCCCTTGGGTGGCTTGGTCGTAACAGCCTATGAGACTTGGTCCCTAGTGTCAGTCAGTCCCTACCTGACACTTGGACCCTATTGTCAGTCAGTTCCAACCTGAGACTTTGTCCCTAGTGTCAATCAGTCCCAACCTGACACTTGGTCCCTAGTGTCAGTCAGTCCCTACCTGAGGCTTGGTCCCTAGTGTCAATAAGTCCCTACCTGACACTTGGTCCCTAGTGTCAATCAGTCCCTACCTGACACTTGGTCCCTAGTCTCAGTCAGTCTCTACCTGAGACTTGGTCCTCAGTGTCAATCAGTCGATACCTGAGACTTGGTCCCCAGTGTCAATCAGTCGATACCTGAGACTTGGTCCCTAGTGTCAATCAGTCCCTACCTGACACTTGGTCCCTAGTGTCAGTCAGTCCCAACCTGAGACTTGGTCCCTATTGTCAGTAAGTCCCTACCTGAGACTTGGTCCCTAGTGTCAATCACTCTCTACCTGACACTTGGTCCCTAGTGTCAGTCAGTCCCTACCTGAGACTTGGTCCCTAGTGTCAATCAGTCCCTACCTGAGACTTGGTCCCTAGTGTCAGTCAGTCCCAACCTGAGACTTGGTCCCTATTGTCAGTCAGTCCCAACCTGAGACTTGGTCCCTGGTGTCAATCAGTCCCAACCGGAGACTTGGTCCCCAGTGTCAATCAGTCCCTACCTAACACTTGGTCCCTAGTGTCAGTCAGTCCCTACCTGACACTTGGACCCTATTGTCAGTCAGTTCCAACCTGAGACTTGGTCCCCAGTGTCAATCAGTCCATACCTGACACTTGGTCCCCAGTGTCAGTCAGTCCAAACCAGAGACTGGGTCCCTTGTGTCAATCAGTGAGTCCCAACCTGACACTTTGGTCCCTAGTGTCAGTCAGTCCCAACCTGAGACTTGGTCCCTAGTGTCAGTCAGTCCCATACCTGAGACTTGGTCCCTAGTGTCAATCAGTCCCTACCTGAGACTTGGTCCCTAGTGTCAATCAGTCCCTACCTGACACTTGGTCCCTAGTGTCAGTCAGTCCCTACCTGACACTTGACCCTTGTCAGTCCCTACCTGAGACTTGGTCCCTAGTGTCAGTCCCTACCTGAGACTTGGTCCCTAGTGTCAATCAGTCCCTACCTGAGACTTGGTCCCTAGTGTGTCAGTCAGGTCCCTCCAGTCCCACCTGAGACTTGGTCCCTAGTGTCAGTCAGTCCCAACCTGAGACTTGGTCCCTAGTGTCAGTCAGTCCCAACCTGAGACTTGGTCCCTGTCAATTGTTGGTCCCTAGTCAATCAGTCCCAACCTACAGTGTCAATCAGTCCCAACCGGAGACTTGGTCCCCAGTGTCAATCAGTCCCTACCTAACACTTGGTCCCTAGTGTCAGTCAGTCCCTACCTGACACTTGGACCCTATTGTCAGTCAGTCCCTACCTGAGACTTGGTCCCCAGTGTCAATCAGTCGATACCTGAGACTTGGTCCCCAGTGTCAGTCAGTCCAAACCAGAGACTGGGTCCCTTGTGTCAATCAGCCCCAACCGGAGACTTGGTCCCCAGTGTCAGTGAGTCCCAACCTGAGACTTGGACCCTATTGTCAGTCAGTCCCTACCTGACACTTGGTCCCCAGTGTCAGTCAGTCCCAACCTGAGACTTGGTCCCTAGTGTCAGTCAGTCCCTACCTGACACTTGGTCCCTAGTGTCAGTTAGTCCCTACCTGACACTTCGTCCCTATTGTCAATCAGTCCCTACCTGACACTTGGTCCCTATTGTCAATCAGTCCAAACCAGAGACTGGATCCCTTGTGTCAATCAGCCCCAACCGGAGACTTGGTCCCCAGTGTCAGTCAGTCCCTACCTGACACTTGGTCCCTAGTGTCAATCAGTCCCTACCTGACACTTGGTCCCTAGTGTCAGTCAGTCCCAACCTGAGACTTGGTCCCTAGTGTCAGTCAGTCCCAACCTGAGACTTGGTCCCTAGTGTCAGTCAGTCCCAACCTGAGACTTGGTCCCTATTGTCAGTCAGTCCCAACCTGAGACTTGGTCCCTATTGTCAGTCAGTCCCTACCTGACACTTGGACCCTATTGTCAGTCAGTCCCTACCTGAGACTTGGTCCCTATTGTCAGTCAGTCCCAACCGGAGACTTGGTCCCCAGTGTCAGTCAGTCCCTACCTGAGACTTGGTCCCCAGTGTCAGTCAGTCGATACCTGAGACTTGGTCCCCAGTGTCAGTCAGTCCCAACCTGAGACTTGGTACCCAGTGTCATTCGGTCCCTACCTGAGATTTGGTCCCTTGTGTCAGTCAGTCCCAGCCTGAGACTTGGTCCCTATTGTCAATCAGTCCCTACCTGCAACTTGGTCCCCAGTGTCAATCAGTCCCTACCTGAGACTTGGTCCCCAGTGTCAGTCAGTCGATACCTGAGGCTTGGTCCCTATTGTCAGTCAGTCCCTACCTGATACTTGGTCCCTATTGTCAGACAGTCCCTACTTGAGACTTGGTCCCTATTGTCAGACGGTCCGTACTTGAGACTTAGTCCCTATTGTCAGACAGTCCCTACCTGAGACTTGGTTCCCAGTGTCAATCAGTCCCTATGTCCTGATCTATGTAATCAGTTTTTGAGACCTGGTCTCTATGATGGTCACTCAGGCCCTACTTTCAGACCCAGTCTCCATGGAGATAAGTTTGATCCAAACACTTGGTTTCCATGGTGATACCCATTCCCATACTGCATACTCAACTGGCATTGTCACCTGATCCAAACTTACAAGAAGCATAACATCCCCTTGTATTCCAATTTTGTTCAGTTACAAAGTGCAAAAACATAAAATGTCTCTTAAATTTAAAACCTGAACAGGAAAGACGATGAAAAAGTTTGTAATCTTATCAGTCTTGTTTGTTTTTTAAATTTTCCTCTCAACACCAGCTTGTAATCTCTGTGTAATCACATGGGGCCTGTCACCAAACACATCCAGCTAGTCCAGCTTGCCCTCGTATTGTGTTTACACACACAAAAACCTTGTTCCTTCTTAATCAAGAATTATTATGTTTGAACAATGTTTAAAATGCCTTGACAGACGGCTCTCATTATTGCAAAACATGGCCTCCCAATGAGATCCTGCGTACAAACCATATCCCTTGTATTTCCTGTGTACTATTACATATCTTAAAGAAATGTCATTCTATTGTCCCTCTCAGCTATGGGTGGCCCAGTTTTCTGGGGTGTCACAAGTTACTGTGCAGAGTTGTGTCCCTTCGGCACAACAGATACCTATGATAAAAATCCCGCTTTGCCCTGATTGTGTTTCAAGGCTTAACAGACACCCATGATATAAATCCTGCTTTGCCCTGATTGTGTTTCAAGGCACAACAGACACCTATGATATAAATCCCGCTTTGCCCTGATTGTGTTTCATGGCACAACAGACACCTATGATATACATCCCGATTTCCCCTGATTGCGTTTCATGGCACAACAGACACCCATGATATAAATCCTGCTTTGCCCTGATTGTGTTTCATGGCACAACAGACACCCATGATATAAATCCCACTTTGCCCTGATTGTGTTTCAAGGCACAACAGACACCCATGATATAAATCCCGCTTTGCCCTGATTGTGTTTCATGGCACAACAGACACCCATGATATAAATCCCACTTTGCCCTGATTGTGTTTCAAGGCACAACAGACACCCATGATATAAATCCCTGATTGTGTTTTGCCCTGATTGTGTTTCATGGCACAACAGACACCCATGATATAAATCCCACTTTTGCCCTGATTGTGTTTCAAGGCACCCATGATATAAATCCTGCTTTGCCCTGATTGTGTTTCATGGCACAATGGACACCCATGATATAAATCCCGCTTTGCCCTGATTGTGTTTCAAGGCACAACAGACACCCATGATATAAATCCCACTTTGCCCTGATTGTGTTTCATGGCACAACAGACACCCATGATATAAATCCCGCTTTGCCCTGATTGTGTTTCAAGGCACAACAGACACCCATGATATAAATCCCGCTTTGCCCTGATTGTGTTTCAAGGCACAACAGACACCCATGATATAAATCCCGCTTTGCCCTGATTGTGTTTCATGGCACAACAGACACCCATGATATAAATCCCGCTTTGCCCTGATTGTGTTTCAAGGCACAACAGACACCCATGATATAAATCCTGCTCTTGCCCTGATTCTCTTTCATGGCACAATAGACACCCATGATATAAATCCTGCTTTGCCCTGATAGTGTTTCATGGCACAACAGACACCCATGATATAAATCTCGCTTTGCCCTGATTGTGTTTCATGGCACAACAGACACTTATGATATAAATCCCGCTTTGCCCTGATTGTGTTTCATATCAGCAACATATGCTGCCCATGGCATGGTTCTCATGATGTCAATCACTGGATTGTGTGGTCCAGCCTCGATTATTTACAGAATTCCGTGATATAGCAGGAAAATTGATGAAAACTCTTTAAACCAAAAAAGACCTATAAATAACCTAAAGCACACACTGAATTTACATCAGTTTTTCAAAAGCCCATCACACTTTAATTTATGAGTGCCATGGATCACCCTTGGAAGTGGAATACGGTACAGAGTCTCGGTCTGGTAGTCGAGCATGCAGTATTTCTGAGAAGTGACTTCACTTATCTCACATAGCTGTTGAGCTTCTTGGAAATGTAAACAAAGATATACAGGGACCTTCTCAAAATCTCTGTGACTATTTATTCAGCTCTGTTGTGGCAGTGTTGACAGATACCACTCTACTGCATCAACAGGCACAATGAGGAATTAAGTTCATTTTTGCTTGTACAGTGACCCCTCATTATTTGTAGGCAACTGCCATGGGTGGTCAGTTGAGGAGTTGTGGTTGCTTGCAGCCATCTATAGACATGACTTATAACCTGCAGTGAATCACGGTGTGAGAGGCCTAAAGCATGGACTCCCCGGGTCAGTCTACCAGTGGGTCAATGAAAGAGTGAAAGTGGTTTCATATATAAGTTGCTGCAATCAAAGGTGATTATTGTGATTTGAAACCTCTAAGCAATTCAGAATAGTGTTTAACAAAGTCATAGTTTTGTGATATTGCCATCAAATAAGATATTCAGTCAGAGGTGGGAGATTTCACAAAATGTATTTCAGAATACTTCATTATTGTTGCAGGTTTGACCTACCTGGGTTGAGACAAACTGGTGACCATACAGAAAGTCTTAAACAAGTCCTGCCATGCAGACTCCCATGTTCAATTCCAACCATATGGGTGGTGAGGTAGCCTAGTGGTTAAAGTGTCTGCTCATCACACTGAAGGCCAAGGTTCAATTCCACATGGGTACAACATGTGAAGCCAATTCCTAGTGTCCCCTCTATGATATATGCAGAGTAAAACTTCAACTCACTCACTCATTAATACAACCATCTTCCACACCAGTGTTCATCTAATCCCCATTTTAGTCAGTTAAGTGTGGATCCTTCGATTCCTACTTGGCAACAGCAGAGTAACCCAACTTCACCCTCTGTTACATAGTAACTTAATAATAGTGAGTCTGATCATCACTATTTTCTTAATCCAACATTTTAAAGCACACTCCTGACCCCACTCATGCTATCAATTCCAGTTGGTGCATCTGCCCGGGGAATCTATATTTGCTCTCATTCAACACTGCCACCCTGTGAGTTGTGCATGAAGCACTGCAGCCAGGAGTGTGTCCATTAAAACATGAAACAGAGAACAGGCGAACTGAGGCTCTCTCCCATCAGCTACCATCAGCTGACACTAACACATTCAGCCAGCAGGCTGCCATTGATGTACAGACATGTAAACTGGAAGTTGACGGTTCCCCTGCAGGAGGGAAGCTGACTGATACTGATAAGTTGCACTTTCATCCAGATACTCCTCACCTGTTGATCCATGCGTATTCTGGCTGGACGAACACTTACCTCAAATAGTGTTGTGTTGTGTGTCATGTCTGAGAGAGTTGTGTTGGGTGTCTTGTCTGAGAATTGTTGTGTTGGGTGTCTTGTCTGAGAGAGTTGTGTTGGGTGTCCTGTCTGAGATTGTTGTGTTTGTTGTGTTGGGTGTCCTGTCTGAGAGTGTTGTGTTGGGTGTCCTGTCTGAGAGCTGTTGTGTTGGGTGTCCTGTCTGAGAGTGTTGTGTTGGGTCCTGTCTGGTGTGTTGTGTGTTGGGTGTCCTGTCTGAGAGTGTTGTGTTGGGTGTCCTGTCTGAGAGTGTTGTGTTGGGTGTCCTGTCTGAGAGTGTTGTGTTGGGTGTCCTGTCTGAGAGTGTTGTGTTGGGTGTCCTGTCTGAGAGTGTTGTGTTGGGTGTCTGTTGTGTTGGGTGTCCTGTCTGAGAGTGTTGTGTTGGGTGTCCTGTCTGAGAGTGTGTTGGGTTGTGTTGGGTGTATCTACATCTGTCCCACCATTCTGTCTTTCTCACTGCTTGGGCTGTCATCTGTCCCACCTCCATCTTCTGTCCACCTACATCTGTCCCACCCCATCTGTCCACCTGCATCTGTCCATCCTTTCATCTGATCCACTCCTCCATCTGCTCCCAACTGCATCTGTCCCACCTCCTCATCTGCCCCACCTACATCTGTCCCAACACATCTGCGGGTCCCACCTCCATCTGCTCCACCTGGTCCATCTCCCACCTTCATCTTTCTCTCTGTCCCCAACCTCCATCTGCCCTGCCTCACCTCTCGTCTCTTCTCCATCTGCCCCACCTCCATCTGTCCCATCTCCATCTGCCCCACCACCTACATCTGCCCCACCTCCATCTGCCCACCAAGCATCTGTCCTGCACATCCATCTGTCCACCTGCATCTGCCCCATCTCCATCTGCCCCCACCTCCCTTCTGTCCCCACCTTACATCCGCCCCACCACATCTGTCCCATTACATCTGCCATCCATCTCCATCTGCCCCCACCTCTCTGTCCCACTGTCTGTCCCACCTCCATGTCCATCTCCATCTGTCCCACCTCCATCTGCCCCACACTACATCCTGTCCTGTCTACATCTGTCCCATCTCCATCTGTTCCCCCTCTCCATCTGCCCCATCTACATCTGTCCCACCTACATCTGCCCCACCTACATCTGTCCCACCCCTCTGCCCCACCTCCATCTGTCCCACCTACATCTGCCCCACCTACCATCTGTCCCACCTACATCTGTCCTGCACCTCCATCTGCCCCCTCCATCCACATCTGTCCCACCTCCATCTGTCCACCTACATCTGCCCCATCTACCATCTGTCCCACCTACACCTGTCCCCACCTACATCTGCCCCACCAACATCCATCTGCCCCACCTACATCTGTCCCACCTACATCTGCCCCACCTACATCTGCCCCTCCCTTCCTACATCTGCCCCCCACCTACATCTGTCCCACCTACATCTGCCCGTGTCCTCCACCTACATCTGTCCCACCACCATCTGTCCCACCTCCATCTGCCCCCTCCTACATCTGCCCCCACCTACATCTGCCCCCACCTACATCTGCCCCACCTACATCTGCCCCCACCTCCATCTGCCCCCACCTACATCTGCCCCACCTACATCTGCCCCACCTACATCTGTCCCACCTCCACCTACATCTGTCCCACCTCCATCTGCCCCACCTCCATCTGTCCCACCTCCATCTGCCCCACCTACATCTGCCCCACCTACATCTGCCCCACCTCCATCTGCCCCCACCAACATCTGCCCCACCTACATCTGCCCCCACTTCTCACCTACATCTGTCCCACCTTCATCTGCCCCACCACTCCATCTGTCCCACCTCCCATCTGCCTTCACCTACATCTGCCCCACCTCCATCTCCCCCTACATTGCCCCACCTCCACCTGGATTTGCCCCACCTCCATTCTGTCCCACCTCCATCTGCCCCCACCTACATCTGTCCCATCTGTCCCACCTACATCTGCCCCCACTTCCACCTACATCAATCTGCCCCAGCCCCACCTACATCTTGTCATCAACACCAATTCCATAGGTTATCTGTGTAATTCCCCATTCACCCTCTCCATCTGCCCCCACCTTACCAATCTACATCTGGGTTCTTCACAGTCCGGACGCTGTACCTACATCTGCCCCACCTACATCTGTACCCACCTACATCTGATTCCACCCACAATACAAAGCATGGATGACAAGTGAGCTGTTTTGTGACCTACATCTGCCCCACCTCCATCTGCCCCACCAACATCTGCCCCACCAACATCTGCCCCACCTACATATGCCCCACCTCCATCTGTCTCTTCTCAATGTGCCCCATCTCCATCTAACATTTACATCAACACACCACCATTTCAACTATTTTTCTCATAGGTTACCATCAGATTAACAAATGTAATTCATAATTTATATTTGAAATATGTATACTACATCATATACATTCTTTCCATCCAGTAGAAGGGTATGATGGGACACAACTCGATACTAGCTCTGTCAACAAGTTTCTGACATAATTTATTCTTGTAATCCAAGTAATATCCACAAGGAAATACAAACCTGTGATTATGTGGGATAGATTCAGAAAGGTCAATAGATTAATACTACTTCATATCTGCCCAACATTGCATGCGACATTCCAAGCTTCTTCCATCGTACACTTGGTGTCTGTGGGGATTATCTCCCTTGATTTGGGGCGCGGTCCATCATGTTTAATTGAGTGATTGTAATGTAGGATATACGGAACTTGATATATTGTCACCAACAGGGTACTTAGCATCTTGACAGCTTGCGTGTTTGGAAACAATCTCAGACATGGGAGGATTATTTGGGTGTCACACTTTTGACTGATCAGTTGTTTCTGGCGTTACTGGGTCACCGATCTAGACCAATTCCACGGGACTGGTTGCTGCTTTTGTTATAAAATTTTCCAGTGGTTACCTTGAAGATATCCCAGAGTTCTTCTCTGGTTTGCGACCTCTGTTTGCATCCCCATAAGTTTAAATGATAGCATAAGGGCATATCCTCACATTGATCAACAACGATGAAACGTTGTCTTGGAATTAATAGGGAAATGTAGTCATCTTTGTGACTCCTCAATATTTCAGTGATTTTACATTCATTTAGTAACACAACAATGAGCCAGTCAATCAGTGCATTGTCATTTAATCCTTTGAACAAAGGACGTTGTTTTTACACTGGCACTATGTCAGGCTATGGCTGTGGTAGACCTACACACATACACAGTAACTTATGACAAATGACAGTGCAAGATTACATATTTAACTTATTATCGTTTTAATATTTTTTATTCAACTAATAATTCCTCTCTTACAGCACCTCCACATGCATATTATGTAACATGTTATGTGTTTATCACATCAGACCTGAATTTATAAGGTTGAATAATCACCCTGGACACCAGATATGCCAAATGAGAACCTTTGCCAGGTAATCTGAGTGTGTTCCATCCAGGATTCGAACCACCACACATAGAGTCAGGCACCTAATCGCCAGCATACCGTCAGCCATCTAACCCACTCAGCCACACAACTGGTAGTCTAGACCACATTCTTTGTGTACCCCACTGACAAGTGTAAACTGGCACAGTTCCCATGGCCTAAAGAATTAATTCAGGTAGTGGTGATCATTTATTCAGTTTTAGAAAAAGAGCATGTTGAGGAAACAATCACAATTTGAAGATCTGGAGTTACATGGAGATTTCCATATTGAATTCGAATCTCTGAAGTTCACTATCGGTATAAGCAGAACAGAATTGTGGACTCAGTAAAGGACAATACAAGACTCGCACATGATCGCTATACTATAAACAAACACAGTTTAGGTTCAGTAGAAGAAGGGTAATACACTGGGTCATATGAGTGGTAGCAGCAGCAGGTAGCAGGCCACAGAATTAATCTCTGTACACTCACAAATGTTTTGAATATTGTCAGTCCCAAACGTTTTGAATGAAATCTGTTTTCTTTTTGGGTAGTAATGGAAATTGGCAGGAATTTGGTGCTTCTAGGGTGGTATCCAAACCACACTTAAAATCACACTGCCAAAGCCAGGATTTGAACCCATGATAAATGCCTTCGGACATTTCTAGGGCACAACTACGCCCAAATCACAAAAAATAAACAGACCTCCAGTGCCCTTATAAGGGTTTCCTTAGTAGGGTCATAAACATATTTTCAATATAATACTTTAGTTTAGTAGCATTAATTGTTTGCAGACATTTCTATTTTTGTAACCTTGACCTTTCCCAAAAGTTAAAGACAATCTGTACAACTGGAGGCCGTTTCCAACATGAGTGTCCTGTTATTGTGTCAGAAATGTTTAAATATAATGTATGCTTTAAGTGGTGACCTTGACTTCTGAAGTACACCAATCATATCTCAGAGAAAGGTCATTTGAACATATTTAGATGTTTTAAATACCGCTACTAGTACAGCAAGCATGATTACATCCATTTCCGACAGCCATGTTTTTATATTCTTGTTCACATTAAATTATACACTTACTTCATTGTAAAGAGGGCACTGCAGTAGCTGAGTGGACGAGCAGGTGCCAAACCATACTCACTCACTGTAATGAAAGGTCTTCTGAACAAATATATGACTTCATTATAAGCCCAATAGTTCATAATAGCCAGAAATAGAATAGAGACTCTCTTCCCTAAACTTCAGTGATTAATTGATGCAGTTCTTAGATTTTCACCTCTTTGGTGAAACCCATGATTACGGGTACAGTAATGGCAAACCGAGAAACCTAGGGTCAGTAATAGTCCGCTTATATGGCGCTCATATCCAGGCACATTGTCTGCTCACGGCGCTATGTACATTACTATCCCCAGTCATAGGACACTATTGTACTTTCCAATACTTTTTTTCAACTCCCTGGGGATACAGCCATGCTCCCTGTTAGGCACAATGAACTAAACACTCACATTGCAAGCACATCCTCACGGGTACCCATTTTACAGCTGGGTGAACTGAGACAATGTAGATCTAAGTATCTTGTCCAAGGATACTATGCAAATGTGCCCACCTCAGGACCCGAACCTCGGTGCCTCCACCGGGTATCGAACCCGGGCCTTCAGCGTGATAGGCAGACGCCTTACCACTGCACTACTGCGCTCCACGTTCACATCTATGATCATGGGTTTCTGTGATGCCAAGAATTAAGTGAATTGTGGCACCTGGGACCACTGGACCACCGGGATCCCACTTAAAATGGAAGTCTGATGAGGCTGTGCACAACTGCTAGTCAAATAAACACATTCAGCATCTAGACTATTCTAAAAGGGCCTCATTTTCAAACTTCACCATTCAGAAGCTTCCTACTTATCCCCCAATTAAGCTAAACACTACAACATTTGAATGTCTCATGAGTGAAATATCCTTTGCAAGACTTACTACATAGAGGTGTTATTAAATTTCCATGAACCAGATAATGAATTTGTGCCCAAGCTGGACACAACCCTAGGTTTGATATAAATCAAACAGATTTACATATTACAGATGCAACACCACAAATAGCAGTCGAATCAAATTATATTTTTCAGAATTGAAACAAGCCTCAATATCAGCAACAATCTGTTTACTTTGCTGAGAGATGTTTCACACACAACTGGGACCATTGTGTAGCACGTTCACCCACCTCCCCATCCCATACCCCATGGAATGCCTGCTCAGATGTTAAAAAACACAGTTCAGATTCTATTAACAATATCATATTGCTGAAGGATGAGGATGAGACTTTGACTGTGGAATATGTGGAACACAGACGATATGATTGGTTGTTGAATCCACATTCTGTGCTAAGTTAATGATAAACATAATAGGGATGGTGGCTTCAGTTCCAACATGAAGCTTGGTGGCACTGAGTCACCACTGATTGCATACCATGATAGACTGTAGATTGGTTTACACTCACAGGTGAAGATGCTGATGATCTAAATCCTGTGTACAAAACCAATCAAGCCAGACCTGACTCAACAGGTCTGATCCCGGCAGACGGACCCGAGGGAGCAGCTTCAATGTCACATGATCTCTACTGCGTGTCAGTCTAAATGGTGATTAAGGAAAACAAAATTAAAATTGTTTGAATGATCTACTTCAAGCGGCGGTTGCAGTGGTCAAAGTGTATCTTCAGTTCGTGACAAAAATGTGAAAAAGATCTACAGGAGAGCTGGTCCAGTGGAACAACAGTTCAGCTGGTCTTCAACCAGCTACGATAACAAATGAAACAAAATATAACATTTTCACACAAACGTACTGATGAAAACCCATTTAAGTCAAAATAATTTGTAGAAATTGAATTGATCTTCACACACTTCAACAAAGATCAAAGAAATGAATTCTGGTGATGTGCATCTTGTCCAGGCAATGAGCACTCAATCCTCCTTTGAAAAAGCTGACATGGTGATCCTGGACAAATTCATCTGGAAGCTTAAAAATACTGGCTACATCAAATGGAATTCTAAGTGGAGTTACCCAGAGAGTGAAGGCAATAATTCCAACATAATTCTGTCCAATTTGACTTAGTAACATGATTGGGATGAAAACACCATTTCCAACTGCTGGAAAGTCCCACTTCGCAGTGTTGTGACATGCACATCAATTTTGTTTTCACTCAAGTGCAATTCTCAGCGTTTAATATTTGCTGATACGCTTACAAACCCCATTACTGCCATATTTTACCATGATGATGAAATTAACTGTCCTCATAGAAAGGTCAAGTCCACAGAATCAAGGGCACAGTTGGAACAATATGTATAATTTTCTCATTACCAACAATCAAAACACCTACGCAAGCCCTATTTGCACGTATGTAACCATGAGCTCAATACATCCATTATATGTCACAGTCGTAAAGAATTAGTGGCCAAATGTCACCTGACTTGTTGTGGGCTTAATGCTCAATGATATATATCACAGTCAAAAATAACAGTGTACATTTACAATATAACATTTGACAGTTGATGTGAATATGGTACAGATACAACACAACATGTGACACATGATGACAATATTGTACAGGTACAACACAACATATGACAGTTGATGACAATATGGTACAGACACAACACAACATATGACAGTTGATGATAATATGGTACAGATACAACACAACATGTGACAGTTGATGACAATATGGCACAGGTACAACTCAACGAATATGACAGTTGATGACAATATGGT